AAAAAAAAAAAAAAAAATCCAGCAAACCCCCTCAAATCCAACACTTAATCTCTCTGCTTTCAATTTGATCTGTTTGATATAGATGTGTTTTGATATTAATCTTTGGGACAAGTGATGATTGTTCACATTTTATACTCACTGCAAGCCTGTCATTAGGTTCTATTGAATTCCATTTGAAAGATGATTAGTAGGTTTTGTTTTAGTATGTTTTTTTTTTAATTCCATGTTGTGATTTGCACTACTTAGTATTTTAGATTTTAATAATTAACAGTTAATTGAAGTGATTAGCTAAAATAAATAACGATGTTGGAGTAAATTTAAAAAAATAGTTAACTAAAATAGATAATATAATATTTAAATATATTTTGAATAGCAATTTTTGATAGCATTGTTGTAGTTGCTTTAAAAAAAGCTATTCATCTGGCTCCCCATCAAGGGTGCGATGAAATCATTTTAGAAGGAGACTCTGGTTGTAATGAACCAAATCAGCTGCATTGGTGGAGAAGTTGAGTTCTTTCAAAGAATCAACTGTGCGCAGAAACTGACTAACAAAGTTGCTCATCATTTAACAAGACATGCAAGTGTTGCTAGTAACTCTATTGTACGACAGCGGCAAGCATTCAAGTTCCCTTAATATGAAAATTATGCAGATGGCCTGCCTTCACTCCCATAAGCAAGTCTCCAGGCTGCTCTAAGCTAAAATGGTAGCAGCTGAGATATTCTTCACAGATTAAATTAAGCATGCCTCTCCAGGTATTGCCGAATGTTCACACATTTTACTCGATACTATAGGAAACAGGCAAACTTTATGTGCAGGTTTTGTAACTAAGTCTAGTGGAGATTACAGCTTAACACTAGGTTCAAGCTTTTCCAAAAAGCTTACACAGCAAAAACCAACTCCAGTACCTATTACCTTCAACCTGCCAAAATTCATAAAGGAAGATCGAAAAATCCCTAGGTTTTTTTACATAATAAGAGCATCCATTTCATTCTAGTATTTCTGTCTATTGCAAAATGGAAGACAGTTTCGCAAGCTTCTACAGAGAGTAATGTCTTTACCAGCATATGTTGCATGGCCACTGTCATTTGGAGACAGCATCTCTCAAAAAGCAATGTTTGGGTCAGGTACTTGCCAAAAAAGTCACCACAAACTGAAGCAATTGACAGTTGTAAAAGATGCTTGGAATGTAATCAGCTGCAAAGAAGTTTACCCTTCTCCATTTGTACAGCTAATACAAGTTCTTCAGTATCCTTCTCCAATTTCAGATTCTACGAGCATTGAACTGTTCTTTATTGTATAGTTAGTAGTCTCACGTGTTACTCTGACAAATTTCTTCTGTATTTTCTGCAGCTTGGAACAAGTCATTCTGATCACCTTTGCATTTTCCCTGATCAGCCTCATCTTGAACCACACCTGGAGAAGATTCATATGCAAAAGAGCTGGAGCTAAGCATTACCAAGATGATCTGGGTATGAGCCATCCTCCACAGAGTTTTCAGTACTCAAGACACCCTGAGTCTTTGGAGTTGTTTCTTTAGAGGAAACTTGATAAATTGCACTATTTTCTACTACTTCCTTTCCATCTTCACCTTCAGGATATTTAGATTCTCGACAGTTTTCAGGACTAGTTATTTCTTTGCAGTTTAAAAGTTTTGCTTCACAACTAGTTGGAAGTATGACTTCTACTGACCAGACATTAAAAGGTGGCACATCACTATTTTCACAGCCTTTAACTAATTCCTCATGACAAACAGTGTTACCATTGCTAGGAGAGCTTTCCTGACAAGGAAGCTGCTAACCTTGAGCACCATCACAGTTGATGCCTTCATTACATGAATCTTTATCGTCGAACACTGGCCTAACAAGCTTTCTGCGTTTGGATTGCTTACCCAAGAAGGCCTTACCTTCTGCAACCCCAACAGATCCTTTTGTGCTAGTTTCATCTAGATTTTTCTTTGTTTCACTACGGCGTTTAAAATCCACAGCTCGGGTCTCTTTGAGCATTTGATTACCATTCTCTTCAAAAGCTCGATAAGGATCCATTTTTGTCCTCAAATTTTTCATGGTTAAATGATCGTAATCTACATGCTTTTTAATGGTCTGCTCATAATTCCTAGCAATTTCGTCATCATCGTGTTGCTTAAGTACTGGTTTAAATTTTCTCAGCTTTCTCACCTGGTGGTTCTGACACTCGTACAACATTTCCATGACTTCATCCACTGATGCATCCATATGGCCATCACAGACAACTTGAGGATCATTTTCTTGCTGTTCTTGCACATGTACTCCTGTAGCCGAACTTAGGCGTGCAAAAACACTAGGTCTCTTATCTTTTGAATCAGGATGTCTACCTTCAGAAATTCGATAGAATGCATTACCTTGATTGATCAAATCGTTTTCATGGCTGTAAATCCCCAAGTGGGACAGATTTGCAGCAGATGAAGGCAAACCCTTGGCAGCAAATCCGTCATTGTTCTCATGCCTCGAATAATTAGACTCATATTTGCCTTCAGGTACCACACGATACTCATTATCCAATTCAAACGATTGATTCTTACTGAAACCGGTATAGGATAAATGTCCCCTGTTTTCCTTTTCAAAAAATTCACCCTTTGAAAAAGGCACAGAAACTAAAGAAGGCTCTGAAAATAATGAACCTCCATAGCCATCATGAGCAGAGGTGTTTAATTCCATGTTTCCAGCATATCCAGGATTTGTGCAAGACTTGCTGGTTAAGCTGCCCGAGTAGTCATGATGGCTGATAGTAGTAGGCACCTGAAGCTTACTTCCGTAGCCAGAAGCAACATCCAGGCATTCGCTTAAACCTTTTGGCTGTCGGTGGTATGGTGATGTTCTGCTCTTATGCAAAGAGAGTATATTCCCCTCAGAACCATGGTAAGGAGGACATTCACTAGGAGTGCCAGCACCATAAGGTGAAGCTCCTGTAACAATAGCATCATGAGATGATGGATAAGAAAAGTCAAAGGTTTGTGGTTCTGTCGGGCGAGCGAACATAGAAGAATCCCTGCGTTTATCCCGTTGCAATGAATACGCAGTTTCCATTTTTTGTTTGCTAAAAGGCTCGATATAGTTGTCCACATGTCCATAATCACTCTTTGTAAACCTGCCATCATCAGCAACTTGTCTAACTTCACCTAGAGCATATGCCGAGCACTCGGATGATACCGCAAAGTCAAAATTGTTACCCGCATGATGTTGATTTTCTATTATATTCCTGATGGAAAACCTTTCATCATTAGATGCCCTTCTACCTTCACCCAAATGGTTCCAAAAATGCTCAGACAATTTGGTTTCGACTCTCTCACTCATCAAAAACCTGTCATCATCAATTGGTCTTCTTATCCTACCCAGACGGTTACTGAGTTGCTCAGTTGGTTTGACAGGCCCAATACCACTGTCCGCATGGTGTTCAGTTTGCAACCTATCATTCATCAGAGCAAAATCAGCATCAGTCGTTCGTCTTATTCCAACATATTCAGTAGGGCTTACTGGCTTCAAACAACTGGCCATAGTACATTCATTGTTTACACTATCATTCACTGAAACACTGCCATCATATGCTAATTTCACTTTGCTCAATGGCTTCCCAAGGTGCTCATCTGCGATAACCAACCCTGAACCACTGCCCAAGTTGCATTCGTTTCCTAAACTCTCCCTCATTAGAAACCTGCCATGTTCATCAATTCTTCTTGCTCTACCAACAGAGTTTCCAGGGTACTCAGTATGGACATCAGGCCCAAAAGTATTGTCCATTGCACATACGCTTTCCACCCTATCACCTGTTAGTATCTGGTCATCATCAGCAACTCTTCTCACTTTACCAAAGGAATCCCCAATATATTCACCCAAGAAGGCCTGTCCAGGACCATGATCACTGTACTGTTCATTTTTTGTGACATCAGTGATCAAACACCTGCCATCATTATCTATCCTTTTTCTTTGACCCAAAGTGTCACTAGGATAATCATCAGTCAAAAAGTCCTGTCCAAGACAATTGTCAACTTTATGCTCATTCTCCACCATATGATCATCCATTATTTTGGCGGTCTCCAAAGAGTTCACTGGGCCCTCGTGCCAACAGGCTGGCCCAAAGTAATCACCCTCGTCATATTCTATTTCCATCCCATCATTCAATGCAAACCTATAATCATCAGCCAGTCTTCTGCCCGGCAGTCTGCTTATTTTTCTTGTCAATTGCCTTCGAGGTAGTTTAGTATTTAACTTTCTTGAATTACATAACCATAGAAGCTTCCGAACCTGAACATTAAATGGAAGGCAAAATATAAAATCAAGGATAAGAATATTTGACAAGTCTTCCACCGTTGACATTCTATATGGCAGAGAACGAGCATACCTGATCTTCAGAAAGACCAAAGTTGAACTTTTTAGTTGAAAAATAATTATCTCTGATTGCATCCCGGAATTCATGTTCAGAAAGTGGACTACAGTACCAAATTGGGGTAAAAATAACCTGGACAACAAAAACACAAGCATACGAATAAAAAGAAAACCACAAACCATCAAAGTATTTTTCCAACAATACAACTCTACCAATTACCATATTATCATTTAATGAATCCAAAGAAAGCAACAGCATTTAAAAAGCACACCTGTGCAGGGAATTGCTTTCCTACAGAATTAAATGCATTGGGCACAAGATTCATAGCTCCATCACAGCAAGCTCGATACACTCCAAAAAGTTCTCTCTTCTCAAATTCAAACAGAAATAAAATCATTCCAGCTTTGACCTGTTTCACAAAGTTAGCTAGGGAAGACGGAAGGCCAAAAAATTTCCGTCTAAAGCACTCCCTTTTTGTTGCAGTGTTGGCCATGAATATTGCACCAAATTCAGGGACTCTTCCAGCAGCACCATTGTCCTCTTCTTCATACTTCATGTTGAGATCCGTGTGAACTGCCACTAGCCCAACAGTTACAATAACACTCGTAATACACCCATATTGCAATGTATAAAATGCGTAAGGGCATATTAAGGTGACAAAGGCTCTTCAATCCCAAAAGGAAGGGTATAGAAGAAAACTTCTTAATGTGTACCAAAACCTATTTAATACCATCAGTCAATGATATCCACATAAAAAGTAAAGTGTCCCATATAATGCAAAATAAAAGAGTCAAAAAAGTTTGTACTAAATCAATCGCATACCCATTTATATCTAATTATCTATTTGAAAGGTGAAAAAAAGAGTGGCGCAGAAGCAGGGAATGTAGAGCAAACTTTAAACATCCGTTTCATAGTGGAAAACTTCCACCAAAACCAGACTTTAAACTCATAACCCCACTGAAGCCATTCAATCCACTAAAATGATATCTTGACCAAAATAATATCCGTTGCTAAAAGATGTTGACGTTGAATGACCCGCACCGGTGATGAAATCAGCTAAGGTCATTATATGTTCCTCGTGGCGCCCATTTGGCTCCCTTTGTGGAAAGAAATAGAAATTATCCTTAAAAAATTCCCCGAATCAAGCAAATCAAAGAAGAAAAAGAAGTTTCTCTACAAAACCAATATTTTTTAGCTCTATAATCTACTTTACAAATTGGATAACAAACACTTTCTCGAAACTAGTAAAAATTCTCCTTCACAAACTTTAAATCTACCTTCTGTTTGATTAGGAGATTTAAGAAGGAAAGAAACACAAAAGGGGAAGGTAAAATAAGCCAAATTTCCTTCAATTTTCTCCCCTAATCAAATCAAATCCCAAATTAAGATTTATCAGTTGGATCGAGCATAATGGAAAAGAAAAGAGGTAACAAACGATAAACAATAATATTTTTTTAACTTTTCCTCTCATTCCCCTGTTTGTCCTTATTTTCCATAGTAGCCGAATAAGGAATATTAAACTCTTTAGTGTTTATTATTTCTCTCCCTCACTTAAACCATGAACCAAAAGGAGAGTAATAGAACATTATGAAAGGTAGAACACAAAAACAACTCTATTTCTTAAGCTGCATCAGTATCCAGCCCTCCAGCCAACTATTCCTCTCGACAGGAATGAGGCCACCACACCCTCTGCAAACAGTGGTGGAGCCACAGTGGGGGCAATGGGCCAATTGCCTCCATTGTGATTTTGAAAATTTTTGAGGTGAACTCAAAATTTTGAAATTTCTAAATATTTTTTAAAATTTTTCCCCACTAAAAAATTGTAAAAACTACGGGGTAATTCAATATTGAAAAACAAAAAGATAAAAAATTAGACTTGGAATCCAATATTTGAAATTTGTTAAGGATGAAATATGTTTTGGATTAATTATATCGATTTAATTGGACTTGATGGTGAGGAATTAAATTGGTCCTCTATGTATGTTCTGTTTTAATAAACTTGTGATACATTGTTTTTTTTTTTTCAAATCTTTTATAATAATTTTGATCTATTTTAATTATTTATTGTCCGTATAAATGATTTCTTAAAGATAATGATGAAATATTAAATTTATTATCCTTTTAATTTGATATTAATGTCGTTTGTTACATCTCGTGGATAGCTTTACAGTTTTTTTTTGACAAGTAAAATAATTTTATTCCGATAAAATGATATTATAATATAGATCAAAAGCCACCCAATCGGGTGTATACTCCAATAAAGCTACACAAAGTGAGTATCTTGACACATTTTGTCCATTAAAGATAGCAAATAACTACAAAAATTTATAGGATCATTGGAGATTTTATATGCGTGACCGTTTTCTTGTGCCTCTTTTATATATTGTGAGATATATAAATTGCACTTTTAATTGAAATCATTTCAATGAAACCATTCTTATAAAAATGTTAAGAATTAATATTTTGTAAAAGAAATAATAAAATTAATGAATTTTAAACTACCCCAACTGTGAAAAACTTCTGGCTCCACCCTTGCCCGCAGATGCTAAACACCCAAGATAGGCCAGGTTAATGCAGGCAACAAGGGGGCGTACAGGAGTTTAACAAAAAACACCGCCCAATAGAAAGAAAAAAAAACAGAATCAATCGGAAAACCCAAGACAGTACAAAATGTACCATATATACAAGTATACACACACATAAAACATGAGTCTAAAATTTCACAAAAATATAGACAAAACTAATAATGGAATTATATGACAATAGAATGCATAACAACTATATCATAAAACCTATCAATCCAATAAATTCAATCACTCATATAATCAAACAAAACATATCAGGATACACTTATACATACGTGTGCGTCTATGACAAAAAAAAAATTATATAAGACGGTTAGGATTGGGAAGTATCCCATCCACAAATCCTCTCCCACTTCCCATTTTTTACCAAACTTCCTTACAATCAAAATTTTCCACATTTCAATATAACCACTCTACCAACTTCGACCAGTATCCAAACTAAACGGATCACTGGTACACAAATACAAAATAGAGAGAAACAGAGACCGAGAATGATCAATAAAACCAGAAATTTCTCTGTATCGGTGTATATATCTGTACATATACATACATATTTATATAGATACAAATATATCCACAGAAAACTACGGAGAGAGAGAGATTTACCCAGGATAACAGTGATGGCGACGCCGATTTTGAGGATTCGGGAATCCTGAAACCACCGTGTAGAAGTAGGAAAAGCGTATGTAGGTGCGTGGGCAGTTATGGGCAGGCGGTGCGTTGGGAAGACAATCTCTCTCTCTCCCTTTTCACTCAAATTGCAAAGTGATACTTAATAATGCAGCAGGAATTGTATTTATGGAAGGTGAGTATTTACGACCCAAATTAACAAATAAAAATGGTATTTGCACTTAAAAAATTAATATAATTTGTTAATTTAATGACGTGGCTAGATTGAAATCATTGAATTAACATCAAATTTCAATGTTTAATGAAATCCACAATCAATTCAAAAGTTATAGTGAATTTAGTTAACAAATTAGATCAATAATTTAGATTCCAAAAACATTGCTCGTTGGACTTTTCAAAAAATTAACATAGGGAATTACATTTTGTCCCCTCAAACTATGAAATTTATGTCATTTTACCCCTTTAACTATTGAATTTCTCACATTGTCACTCAACTATATGAATTGATATCACATTACCTAAAATGCAAATCCATCATCTCCTTATTTACTTTGTTTTTTCCTATCACCCCACTATTTAGAGTATCTCCAATAAGCTTTTTATTCTCAATCAATTTTTTATTTCAGAGAGTTAACTCTTAAAAATTTATTTCCAGTAGACTCTCTATTTAGATTAGCTATAATAAAGAGTTTAATTTGGCTCTCTACATTTAGAGAGTCAGACTCACTCTTTATTTGATCATTAATGAATGATAAAATGTTACATATACCTTTTTCATTAAATAAAAGACTATTCTTCCGTTAGAATAAAGAGTCTATTAGAATTGTCTAAAATAATTTTTTCTCTATTTCAAAAAAGATTCTCATCAAAGTAAAGAGTATTATTGGAGATACTTTTAGTGGTTAGAAAATTTAGAAAGTTTTAGGATTATAAGAAATAAGAATGGAAGGTTTTGTCAAATCTCTCTCTGGAGTTGAGTGTTTTTATATGTTTAGATATCATACATTTACTTAAGGTCTATTATATTAAATTCCTCTAAATATTCGATTGCTGATATTACTATTTTTTTTTTGAAGATGACAAGTAAACCTATGTCCTCACCTAAAACATAGAGTTGAAGGCATATTTGCTTTAAATTGTTCAAAATATAAACATCAATTATTTTTCAGACGAAAAATTGTCGATGTAGCATGATTAACGAAACAAAATTACATAGTTTTGGAGTCAAATAAAATAACTTATCATCGAATTTTCAATGGAGGTTAAGCATTGGGTAATACAAAACCTAATAAAATATAATGTGAGAAATATGATAATTAAAAAGATAAAGTATAATTAACTCTTTTCCATTTAAAGTAACTTTTCTTCGAGTTCCTCTTGCGAATGTAACTTCCTGTTAAGTTTTTCTTTTTTGGTCAAAACTTCCTCTTAAGTTGCGTGATGGTTTTGAAGTGCACACATGGAATTTAGCAAACAATTTAGAGAGACAAACTGAGACACAAAATCCTTCTCTTGTTTTTAATTTTATACAAGTAGAGACATGGACGAACGTGTAAGCCTCTTTTAGCATTGATTAATCCTTTTTTTTTCTTTACCCAAATAATATTAGCAAAGTAAGGTTTTCAGTCACCCATGACCATACTATTTTGTTTTATGAAGGGTTCTTTGGAAGTCAATACATTAAATTAGACATAATTATAAAAAAAATACACAGAACAAAATATTTTGAAAAAAAATACATAGCTTAGATACAAAGACGTAAATGCCTATTTGTAAAATTTTGTTTCATAACAAATGTAACAAGACATTTATCATAAGCGTTGAAATTTAGAGTCATTTAATTCGAAATTTTTAATACACCTTGATTTATGCGTATTTTTTTTTTTTGAAAGTGATTTTATTTTCAAATTATATTTATGCATTAAATATATATTAGTTTTATAGAAGAATTTTAATATTTCGTTTATTTTAGGATATATCACTTTGTTTGAATTTCAAAATTTATTAATATCCGAATTTCATAATAGTGTAATAAAGACAATGTAACAATACATTGTAACAAAAATAATGTTTCAGTGATTTTGTGGATATGGTAACAAATTCAAAGCAGAGATAAAACTGTTTTGAATGATTTCATATATGTTTGACAAAATATAATAGTACTATATTTTGTATAATTGTCTTCTTATACTGTTATTGTTACACTATTATTAGTACACTATTATGGAGTTTGAATATTAACATAATTTCNTAATAGTACTATATTTTGTATAATTGTCTTCTTATACTGTTATTGTTACACTATTATGAAGTTTGAATATTAACATAATTTGNGTTTTTTTTTTTTCAAATCTTTTATAATAATTTTGATCTATTTTAATTATTTATTGTCCGTATAAATGATTTCTTAAAGATAATGATGAAATATTAAATTTATTATCCTTTTAATTTGATATTAATGTCGTTTGTTACATCTCGTGGATAGCTTTACAGTTTTTTTTTGACAAGTAAAATAATTTTATTCCGATAAAATGATATTATAATATAGATCAAAAGCCACCCAATNATCCTTTTTCTTTGACCCAAAGTGTCACTAGGATAATCATCAGTCAAAAAGTCCTGTTCAAGACAATTGTCAACTTTATGCTCATTCTCCACCATATGATCATCCATTATTTTGGCGGTCTTCAAAGAGTTCACTGGGCCCTCGTGCCAACAGGCTGGCCCAAAGTAATCACCCTCGTCATATTCTATTTCCATCCCATCATTCAATGCAAACCTATAATCATCAGCCAGTCTTCTGCCCGGCAGTCTGCTTATTTTTCTTGTCAATTGCCTTCGAGGTAGTTTAGTATTTAACTTTCTTGAATTACATAACCATAGAAGCTTCCGAACCTGAACATTAAATGGAAGGCAAAATATAAAATCAAGGATAAGAATATTTGACAAGTCTTCCACCGTTGACATTCTATATGGCAGAGAACGAGCATACCTGATCTTCAGAAAGACCAAAGTTGAACTTTTTAGTTGAAAAATAATTATCTCTGATTGCATCCCGGAATTCATGTTCAGAAAGTGGACTACAGTACCAAATTGGGGTAAAAATAACCTGGACAACAAAAACACAAGCATACGAATAAAAAGAAAACCACAAACCATCAAAGTATTTTTCCAACAATACAACTCTACCAATTACCATATTATCATTTAATGAATCCAAAGAAAGCAACAGCATTTAAAAAGCACACCTGTGCAGGGAATTGCTTTCCTACAGAATTAAATGCATTGGGCACAAGATTCATAGCTCCATCACAGCAAGCTCGATACACTCCAAAAAGTTCTCTCTTCTCAAATTCAAACAGAAATAAAATCATTCCAGCTTTGACCTGTTTCACAAAGTTAGCTAGGGAAGACGGAAGGCCAAAAAATTTCCGTCTAAAGCACTCCCTTTTTGTTGCAGTGTTGGCCATGAATATTGCACCAAATTCAGGGACTCTTCCAGCAGCACCATTGTCCTCTTCTTCATACTTCATGTTGAGATCCGTGTGAACTGCCACTAGCCCAACAGTTACAATAACACTCGTAATACACCCATATTGCAATGTATAAAATGCGTAAGGGCATATTAAGGTGACAAAGGCTCTTCAATCCCAAAAGGAAGGGTATAGAAGAAAACTTCTTAATGTGTACCAAAACCTATTTAATACCATCAGTCAATGATATCCACATAAAAAGTAAAGTGTCCCATATAATGCAAAATAAAAGAGTCAAAAAAGTTTGTACTAAATCAATCGCATACCCATTTATATCTAATTATCTATTTGAAAGGTGAAAAAAAGAGTGGCGCAGAAGCAGGGAATGTAGAGCAAACTTTAAACATCCGTTTCATAGTGGAAAACTTCCACCAAAACCAGACTTTAAACTCATAACCCCACTGAAGCCATTCAATCCACTAAAATGATATCTTGACCAAAATAATATCCGTTGCTAAAAGATGTTGACGTTGAATGACCCGCACCGGTGATGAAATCAGCTAAGGTCATTATATGTTCCTCGTGGCGCCCATTTGGCTCCCTTTGTGGAAAGAAATAGAAATTATCCTTAAAAAATTCCCCGAATCAAGCAAATCAAAGAAGAAAAAGAAGTTTCTCTACAAAACCAATATTTTTTAGCTCTATAATCTACTTTACAAATTGGATAACAAACACTTTCTCGAAACTAGTAAAAATTCTCCTTCACAAACTTTAAATCTACCTTCTGTTTGATTAGGAGATTTAAGAAGGAAAGAAACACAAAAGGGGAAGGTAAAATAAGCCAAATTTCCTTCAATTTTCTCCCCTAATCAAATCAAATCCCAAATTACGATTTATCAGTTGGATCGAGCATAATGGAAAAGAAAAGAGGTAACAAACGATAAACAATAAATATTTTTTTAAATTTTCCTCTCATTCCCCTGTTTGTCCTTATTTTCCATAGTAGCCGAATAAGGAATATTAAACTCTTTAGTGTTTATTATTTCTCTCCCTCACTTAAACCATGAACCAAAAGGAGAGTAATAGAACATTATGAAAGGTAGAACACAAAAACAACTCTATTTCTTAAGCTGCATCAGTATCCAGCCCTCCAGCCAACTATTCCTCTCGACAGGAATGAGGCCACCACACCCTCTGCAAACAGTGGTGGAGCCACAGTGGGGGCAATGGGCCAATTGCCTCCATTGTGATTTTGAAAATTTTTGAGGTGAACTTAAAATTTTGAAATTTCTAAATATTTTTTAAAATTTTCCCCCACTAAAAAATTGTAAAAACTACGGGGTAATTCAATATTGAAAAACAAAAAGATAAAAAATTAGACTTGGAATCCAATATTTGAAATTTGTTAAGGATGAAATATGTTTTGGATTAATTATATCGATTTAATTGGACTTGATGGTGAGGAATTAAATTGGTCCTCTATGTATGTTCTGTTTTAATAAACTTGTGATACATTGTTTTTTTTTTTTCAAATCTTTTATAATAATTTTGATCTATTTTAATTATTTATTGTCCGTATAAATGATTTCTTAAAGATAATGATGAAATATTAAATTTATTATCCTTTTAATTTGATATTAATGTCGTTTGTTACATCTCGTGGATAGCTTTACAGTTTTTTTTTGACAAGTAAAATAATTTTATTCCGATAAAATGATATTATAATATAGATCAAAAGCCACCCAATCGGGTGTATACTCCAATAAAGCTACACAAAGTGAGTATCTTGACACATTTTGTCCATTAAAGATAGCAAATAACTACAAAAATTTATAGGATCATTGGAGATTTTATATGCGTGACCGTTTTCTTGTGCCTCTTTTATATATTGTGAGATATATAAATTGCACTTTTAATTGAAATCATTTCAATGAAACCATTCTTATAAAAATGTTAAGAATTAATATTTTGTAAAAGAAATAATAAAATTAATGAATTTTAAACTACCCCAACTGTGAAAAACTTCTGGCTCCACCCTTGCCCGCAGATGCTAAACACCCAAGATAGGCCAGGTTAATGCAGGCAACAAGGGGGCGTACAGGAGTTTAACAAAAAACACCGCCCAATAGAAAGAAAAAAAAACAGAATCAATCGGAAAACCCAAGACAGTACAAAATGTACCATATATACAAGTATACACACACATAAAACATGAGTCTAAAATTTCACAAAAATATAGACAAAACTAATAATGGAATTATATGACAATAGAATGCATAACAACTATATCATAAAACCTATCAATCCAATAAATTCAATCACTCATATAATCAAACAAAACATATCAGGATACACTTATACATACGTGTGCGTCTATGACAAAAAAAAAATTATATAAGACGGTTAGGATTGGGAAGTATCCCATCCACAAATCCTCTCCCACTTCCCATTTTTTACCAAACTTCCTTACAATCAAAATTTTCCACATTTCAATATAACCACTCTACCAACTTCGACCAGTATCCAAACTAAACGGATCACTGGTACACAAATACAAAATAGAGAGAAACAGAGACCGAGAATGATCAATAAAACCAGAAATTTCTCTGTATCGGTGTATATATCTGTACATATACATACATATTTATATAGATACAAATATATCCACAGAAAACTACGGAGAGAGAGAGATTTACCCAGGATAACAGTGATGGCGACGCCGATTTTGAGGATTCGGGAATCCTGAAACCACCGTGTAGAAGTAGGAAAAGCGTATGTAGGTGCGTGGGCAGTTATGGGCAGGCGGTGCGTTGGGAAGACAATCTCTCTCTCTCCCTTTTCACTCAAATTGCAAAGTGATACTTAATAATGCAGCAGGAATTGTATTTATGGAAGGTGAGTATTTACGACCCAAATTAACAAATAAAAATGGTATTTGCACTTAAAAAATTAATATAATTTGTTAATTTAATGACGTGGCTAGATTGAAATCATTGAATTAACATCAAATTTCAATGTTTAATGAAATCCACAATCAATTCAAAAGTTATAGTGAATTTAGTTAACAAATTAGATCAATAATTTAGATTCCAAAAACATTGCTCGTTGGACTTTTCAAAAAATTAACATAGGGAATTACATTTTGTCCCCTCAAACTATGAAATTTATGTCATTTTACCCCTTTAACTATTGAATTTCTCACATTGTCACTCAACTATATGAATTGATATCACATTACCTAAAATGCAAATCCATCATCTCCTTATTTACTTTGTTTTTTCCTATCACCCCACTATTTAGAGTATCTCCAATAAGCTTTTTATTCTCAATCAATTTTTTATTTCAGAGAGTTAACTCTTAAAAATTTATTTCCAGTAGACTCTCTATTTAGATTAGCTATAATAAAGAGTTTAATTTGGCTCTCTACATTTAGAGAGTCAGACTCACTCTTTATTTGATCATTAATGAATGATAAAATGTTACATATACCTTTTTCATTAAATAAAAGACTATTCTTCCGTTAGAATAAAGAGTCTATTAGAATTGTCTAAAATAATTTTTTCTCTATTTCAAAAAAGATTCTCATCAAAGTAAAGAGTATTATTGGAGATACTTTTAGTGGTTAGAAAATTTAGAAAGTTTTAGGATTATAAGAAATAAGAATGGAAGGTTTTGTCAAATCTCTCTCTGGAGTTGAGTGTTTTTATATGTTTAGATATCATACATTTACTTAAGGTCTATTATATTAAATTCCTCTAAATATTCGATTGCTGATATTACTATTTTTTTTTTGAAGATGACAAGTAAACCTATGTCCTCACCTAAAACATAGAGTTGAAGGCATATTTGCTTTAAATTGTTCAAAATATAAACATCAATTATTTTTCAGACGAAAAATTGTCGATGTAGCATGATTAACGAAACAAAATTACATAGTTTTGGAGTCAAATAAAATAACTTATCATCGAATTTTCAATGGAGGTTAAGCATTGGGTAATACAAAACCTAATAAAATATAATGTGAGAAATATGATAATTAAAAAGATAAAGTATAATTAACTCTTTTCCATTTAAAGTAACTTTTCTTCGAGTTCCTCTTGCGAATGTAACTTCCTGTTAAGTTTTTCTTTTTTGGTCAAAACTTCCTCTTAAGTTGCGTGATGGTTTTGAAGTGCACACATGGAATTTAGCAAACAATTTAGAGAGACAAACTGAGACACAAAATCCTTCTCTTGTTTTTAATTTTATACAAGTAGAGACATGGACGAACGTGTAAGCCTCTTTTAGCATTGATTAATCCTTTTTTTTTCTTTACCCAAATAATATTAGCAAAGTAAGGTTTTCAGTCACCCATGACCATACTATTTTGTTTTATGAAGGGTTCTTTGGAAGTCAATACATTAAATTAGACATAATTATAAAAAAAATACACAGAACAAAATATTTTGAAAAAAAATACATAGCTTAGATACAAAGACGTAAATGCCTATTTGTAAAATTTTGTTTCATAACAAATGTAACAAGACATTTATCATAAGCGTTGAAATTTAGAGTCATTTAATTCGAAATTTTTAATACACCTTGATTTATGCGTATTTTTTTTTTTTGAAAGTGATTTTATTTTCAAATTATATTTATGCATTAAATATATATTAGTTTTATAGAAGAATTTTAATATTTCGTTTATTTTAGGATATATCACTTTGTTTGAATTTCAAAATTTATTAATATCCGAATTTCATAATAGTGTAATAAAGACAATGTAACAATACACTGTAACAAAAATAATGTTTCAGTGATTTTGTGGATATGGTAACAAATTCAAAGCAGAGATAAAACTGTTTTGAATGATTTCATATATGTTTGACAAAATATAATAGTACTATATTTTGTATAATTGTCTTCTTATACTGTTATTGTTACACTATTATTAGTACACTATTATGGAGTTTGAATATTAACATAATTTGAAAACAAAACCACTATTTAAAAAAAAATACGTATGAATTAAAGTGCATTAAGTATAATTTGAAAATAAAATCGCTTTCCCAAAAAAAAAA